CCTACTGCAACTGTTCGTAAGGAAAGCGGACCGAACGGAAACGATTTCGTATCCGCCGATCCGCGTTGTACCACACGCTTCTTAAAATAATTTTAAAAATAATACTCTAAAATGGCAAAGAGAAAGTTACCGAAAAAAGTGTACCGAGAAATTGAAAGATAACGATTGTTTTAAAAATATTTATACTAATGATTTTGATAGTGACGTAGTTCCAGTAAAGCGACGAGTGATGCAATTACAAATTTGCAGCGATAGTGAAGTAGAAGAAAATGATGAAAATTAAAATAGTGATTGAAATGATTTTATTGTTTGGAGAGATGTTACGCACAGAGACCAGCCTCAATGAAAAACTATTGTTCATTGCACGGAACGTATCGATTTTTTCAAGCTCTTTTTCACAGATATACTGCTTGAAACAATTGTATTAGAAACAAATAAATATGCCAATAATAAAATAGAGCAGCAAAGCTTATCTGAACGATCTATATGGAATAACTGGGTCGATGTGACGAAAGAAGAGTGAACAGCTTTTTTGGGCGTCATCCTTAACATGGATACACGGATATATTTTAATAGATGATATAGTTATAGATATGCCGGTTCCTAATATGAAAGATTATTGCACTAAAGAGCATGTTGGGAACATACCATTTTTTAGAGATGTATTTCGAAGGGAAAGATTTCTTCAAATATTTTGGATGTTACATTTGAATGAAAATGTTTCCAGAAATCCAAATGTAACGACGAGAATCCAAAAAGTGAGCAATTTTATCGATTATATTGATGGTAAATTCTAAAAACATTTTACACTAGATAGAGAAATATTAATCAAAGAATCTATTGTTATATTTAAGGGCAACATTTCTTAAAGGCAAAGTTTCTTAATCCCAATAAGCCCACCAAATAGGGAATCCGTATTTACGTGTTATCAAACGCACGTATCACGGAAGCGTTAGTACAGAATGTCTCATACATCCGGACCTCCCTGTAAACTCGAGGATTGTTTTCCTGAGGCAAAGGGATATCATATCTTTACAGATAGATATTTTACAGGAATACAATTAGCGCAGGATTAAAACTAAGGTGCTATTTAACTGGTACCATTCAAACAAACAGAAAACATATTCCAGATGTGATTAAAAAACCAGCTGTAACAAAAAATAATAATGTTGCTGCCTATCGATCAGGTGATATTTTATTATTAGCGTGGAAGGATAAGAGAATAGTTATTACATTAAGCAGTTACGATACCTCAAGTATGGAAACTATACAAAGAAAATTAAAAGGAGGTAACACCGTCACCATTAGCAAGCCAAAAGTTATTATAAATTATAATTTAAATATGGGAGGTGTCGATAAGGCTGACCAATATGTAAGTTCATATTGTTTTATGTAAAAATCATGTAAATGGTGGAGAAAAATTTTTCTCTGTGGATTAGAGGTATGTGCAATCAATAGTTACATCTTATATAAGGTGTCAGCTAGAAAACAAGATGCCTATGTCACATTTTATGTTTGTCTGGAAATTGGTGGAAGAACTTGTAGGTGATTTTCATGATGGAGCATCTTCAAAATCAGGAAGACCATCGTCCTCAGACAAAGAGGAAACGGCTTAATGGCAAATTACATATATTGCAGCACTGTGAAGATGTAAAGCGTAAAGACTGTTCTGTATGTTCAAACAGAAAAATTAACGGCGAAAGACGCCAAACTAATTATTTTTGCGACACATGTTCTCGAAAACCAGGGCTTCATATTGGAAGAACTATAAAATATAATTTTTACATAAAATTAAAACATATTATTGTGTTACATGTATCTAAAAATTTAAAAAAGAATTAATAAATTTTGTTTTTCCTTCATAATCTTGTATACTATTGTAGTATCGAAATTATTACAATGTATAGTTATATTTTTAGTTACTTTTATTTTTCATAGATGGCCTGTTTGCTGGGGATGCATGAACGAAAAGTATGAATGTGATGTGAGACGTACAGCGTTGGCATTGAGCGCTTTTCTTCTTGAAAAAGGAGAAATTCGTGCGAGTTGGTGCAAAAAGTGATCATTTTGTGTTGCATAAAAGAATTAATTGTGTCGTTTGAGTTTATTCGAATTATTGTTATTGCATAAAAAAATTAATTGTGTCGTTTGAGTTTATTCGAATTATTGTTGTCGGTGCTGTACATCTTGCTTTTATTATTTGTTGTTTTGTTTCCGTTTTCTTTATTATTTAATATAACATTAAATTATATCTTTATAGTATGTATTATTGTTCGTTCAACGGAATTAATTTCGACCAGCATAACACCTATGTATAAATTTAATACGACCGTAAAGAGTTAAGAATATGTAACCAAATAGCTATAAGAGTCACGGTCACAATAGGATATGCGTATAGACTTAAGCCAAACATACCCTAAGACACAATGTATATGTATACCATAACCTCAAGCCTCCAGACCTGCATTCCTAGAAACAGACCCTTCATAAGCATTCCATTAGATACAAGTGCAAGAGAAACCCTCCTAACCATCATGAATCCTTCAACCAAGGACAACAACAGCTCCAATTCTAAGAACTCCTATTTACAGAACACCAAAGTGAAACATGAACTCTCCAACCGCAAATCACTCATCGACAATCGATCAGTAAACAGAAACGCAAGAGGAACCGCTCTCAGATTCCAAAACAAAGGTAATAAACATAGAGATAAACCAGAGTATAAATAGGCCACGTTTAATTAGTAAAGTCAGCCTAGCCCTTTGCGGTCGAATGTCGTCAAATAGCCGCCCAATTCTATCTTTCTGAATAAGATACGCATGGG